CATGCGATGCAGTCCATCCTCACCCACGACTCTCGGCCTAAGAAACGTCCGGGGGGCGGGGGGGGTCCTTTCACATGGCTCGTCCCCCCGCGTTTGGTTGGCTTTTCTCTTGGTTTTCCTCTAAAACTAACATAACAAGGGTTCCCTCAAAAAAGTACGCACATCAGGTGAACCCTTTTGGTTTCGCTTTAAATCCAGCACAACCACATCAGCTGAACCATGGCTTCGAGTTTTAATTGGGGAATCGCCTCAGTGAACGTGAATCCGCGAGTTTTCATGTCACGGTGGATTCCTTGTCCCTTCAAAAGCACCCAAAAAAGGGTACCCTCAAATAAGCACGCACCCAAATGAGCCATGGTCAACCACCAGGGATGGTCATGGACCGAAGTTTTGCCCTTAGCACAAATGATTTTGTTGCCTGGACCTTGAAAATCGCAGAATGATCCGGGTTATGCAGAATCTTTTCGTTTCCGTATGCGTTTGCTCCAACCACACTCAAATGGTTGTCTACCCCCCACTGATATGGGTTGTTCACGGTGGAGATCAGATGTGTTTGCTCCAGCCACACTCACATGGTTGTCTACCCCCCATTGAATATGGGTTGTTCAGGGTGGGGATCAGATATGTTTGGTCCAACCCCGCTCAAATGGTTGTCTACCCCCCAATTGAATATGGGTTGTTCAGGGTGGGGATCAGATATGTTTGGTCCAACCCCTCTCAAATGGTTGTCTACCCCCCATTGAATATGGGTTGTTCAGGGTGGGGATCAGATATGTTTGGTCCAACCCCGCTCAAATGGTTGTCTACCCCATGGATATGTCTTTTTTGGAGGACCCCTTTTAGTTTTGTCAAAGGGCACAGGAACCCCAACGCCGGGGTCGAATTTTGCCGCACAGGCCCCACGTCTCTAAGCCATCAGGAAGTTCTCCAGGCCAATAAAAGGCCGAACGGCCCAACCCCCTGCCTGTTGTAGGTACCTTTATTAAATTTATTGCCACTTTCTTGGCCGGGAGGATTTCCTGGAGTGTTTTGTCTCAGCTTTTTTCCATGTTTGTTTTGGTGACCGAAGAACCATATGCGGGGTTTGTGATGCTGGTGTGATGGGTAGGGAATGACGTTCCGGGTTTTTGGAATGAACCGGAAGTGGATTCCCTTAACGGAAATCTGATTTCGGGGATGGTTTTTCTCGGGGTCTTTGCATTCGTTCCGCCTATTTTGTAGCGAGCTGGGGGTAAAACAAGCTTACCAAGATAAAGGTCCTTTTCTTAGACATCCAATTCTGAATTCAGCTTTTGGAGTAGATGTCCTTCACATCCAATGCAGAGGTTTTTTTTGCTGAGACCCCGCGGACGTTTATTTTTTTGGGGAAGCCAGGACTGCTTGCCGCGGCTCATCGAGGCGGCAGTGAGTCCCCAGGGCCCGGAGATGCGGCTCGACTTCCGTCCGAGCGGTGAGAAGGTCCCACTCCAAATGGGCCGTGTTTTTTTTGTGTTTTTTTTTTGGGGGGGGGGTAGATTTGGAAAAAGCCACCGGGTTGGGGTTTGGGGTTTGCGGCGGGGGGGGGGAAGAGGCTGACATTTGTGGAGCAAATTGAGCGGGAATTGGATGGCCACATGGACCACAAACCAATGACCAAAGGAGCAGAAAGGGAGGAGCCAGCTGAGCAGGGGGTCGGGGTGGGAGGATATGAGAGCTGGTAGGGGAGAGGGTGTAGGGGCTTGGGTTGGAGGTTGGGTGAGGTGGATGCAAGAGTGATGGGTACTGTAGGTGCTGTTTGGGCCTTCGCTGTGAAACGAAACCAAAAGGTAGCCAACCATCTTAAGTGGGTCCGCCATTTTGAAGCCAACCCACATCAGCAGACAACATCAGTGCGCGTTGTTTTTCTCTCGTGACGTCGGTTTGCCCATTTTACCTATGTCGTTTCGAGCTTGCCAGTTCCACTTGCCACAGGATCCAGGGTTGTACCAAGTTTTGCATGGTGATTTCTTCTGCTTGCAACTGTTCAGATAGCCCATTGTTTGGATTGATGATTTGGATTTGGATTTGAAGCCCTGTTCTTGTAAAGGGCAATTGGGAAGTTTCCACACCTCCAACCCGAGATCCAAATTCGGTGCCGAGGGTGTTGTCACGACTCCATGTTGTCAACTTATCGACTTTGATGGGGTCCGACCCATTTCGGGCATCCTATCCGGAGCCCTGTTCTTTCTTTCTTTTTTTGGGGGGGGAACCGCCGTGATTCATACGAGCACAGCCTCTATTTTGGAGTTCCATCCAAAGCCTTCCGTGCGGAACCCATCCCAAAGGCGACTTGGATTGGGCTCGATGTGAAGGCACATGCTACACAGCTGGCGCCAGCAGCTGGGAGAGCAGCGATTGGAGGCGCAGCAAGGGGGTGGCGTTCCCCCCGCAGCTGCCAATGATTGAGTGCCAACCACGGATGTTTCAACGGGTTCAATTCAGCCGTCCTCTTGGAAGCGTGGGGGCTAAATAGGGAGCTATATTTTTTGTTTCATGCTTATTCCCTGCTGTTGGTTTCCTATTGGGAAACCAAATCGAAGCCAGCTGTTTCAGGCGTCCCCTGCTGTGAAACGAGCCCATTTGATCACCAAAAATCGCCAAAAGGGCCAGTGGAGGTGGTTCGGTCCTGCCTGGTTCTTAGGGGTTGGAGTAAAGCCTATGTAAGCCTTTGTCACCATGTTAGAACCAAACGTCAGTGGGTCTTGGGTGCTCATTTCTGTCCCTTCCACTGTCCTCAGCAGGCCTTGCGTGGCCACTTGTCAAAGCACGGCCAGAACCCCACCATTGTGTCACTTTCCGCCTGAGAAAAAGAAGCTTCCTGTTGATGTGTTTACATTGTCACCTTGTGGTTTCGACCTCAACATGCTTTTCCTGTAGGCAAGGGATATGTTTTACATTATGGGAGGGAACTCTATTTTTTAGGAGGGGGGTTGGCGGTTTCTTGTGGGTTTACCCTTCAAAACCAAAGCAAACACAGGACCTCCGCTAGCGGAAATCTCTCGTGCCCGCAAGCTAGCAGACCTTGGGCACCGTGTCCCCTTGGAAAGTCCAAGGAGTAAGGGCTAAATCTGCCCTAGAAATGGGTGTGGCTCAAAATTCAACGATCGGAGGGGCAAACCGGGTTTTGGTCCATGTTTCCTTACCGATCGGGCAACCCATTTGGGAATTCCTTGTTTTTTGAATTCGCCACAGCCAAATGGGTCTTACCGTCCCATCCACATGGAGCCTAGGGAGGCGCAAGAGATCTCTTCCCCCCAAAGCCCTCAAAAACTACCACTCAAGGTGCACCTCAGCCACCGAAACTTGACCCAATATCCCCAGCATACCGGTGGGGGGGTCTCCTCCAAAAACATATTAGTTTCTGTAGACTAAACTATAGAGAGTCAGAAAATCTCTGAAATGTTCAATCCCGTTTTGTTGGGTTCCTCATTTCTCCAAAACCGGCTGGTTTGCCATGGGAAAATTGAATAGGCCGTCGTTCAGGAACCCCGGTGATTTGGACTACCCCGGGTTCCAGGCTCAGCTTCAGATAGAAAGGGTGGTTTGGAGCCCGGCTTGGTTTGGCCAGGCCAGTGGGTGGGTTCCACCTTTTGACTACCCCAAGATAGACTTAAGCCCAGGGTTCGCTACCCCCAAAAGGACGGTTTGAGCCTATCTTGGTCGCCAACAAGTGGAACCCTGCTCGGGTGGGCATGAGGGGTCCGGTGACACAATGACTCAGCCCGGTGGTTTGGATTGGAGTCAGCGTTGGTGGATACTTTGGCGCACCCCATCGATGGCGGCTGGGGGGGAGGGAGGGGAGAGGAAGGCCCTAAAAAAGGGCTTGATGGCTTATTTGCCTCCCCTCCCTCCCCAGGTTTCATGAGACTCCTTGTGGAACCTGCGCCACCCGACGGCATCTGCGCCAGGCCCAGCACTGGCTGGGCTACTCCTTGGAGCGCCTGAGGCGGCTCTGGGCCTCCCCGGGGCGTCAGGGCTGCGCTGAGCAGAAGCTCTTCCCGGTGCCCCAGACCAGCGAGGAGTCCGAAGTGAGTGAGTCCTTTGAGTCCTTTTGGTTTGGGTGGGAACCCCGGCCATCAGAGTTGTTTTTTTAGGTGTTGGTGGTTTGGGGATTATATTGTGTTAGGGTTTTAGGACTTTCTTGATGGTTCCCCTCTGTTCCTTTAGTTTGTCTTGATTTTTTTTGGCTGGTGAAATGGGGAAGGGGGGGGGGGGTTGCCACTTCACCCGCGCAAAGTTGAGTTTTTCCCAGGGGATCTGAGGACAGCCCAGTTTTCATGGCTCCTTTGGAGGTGAAGGGTACCCACTTTTCTGTGGTCAGTGGTTTGATCGGGAAACCAGTAGGAAAACCAGCGTGGTTTGGTAGCAAGCTGGTTTTTTGGGGTCAAGGGACGCCCAAAGGCCCAAAGGGGCAAAAGTCGAAGACAACCAGACGGGACCACTATCTTAGGTAAGCAAAAGCTCCTGAAGCTTTGTAAAAGGGGCAAAAAACCAACATTTGCTGAAATAGACTGTGACAAGATTGTCGCGCGCCAAAAGATTCAACAAAGCTCACCACCAGACGGGTGTTGGGGAGCCCTCCAAACAGGTGACTTCTCCTCAATGGTTTACCTTCTGAACTGAAAAATCCCTCGAAGACTCGCAAACCAATGTGGGTACAGGGGTTCGTTCATCGATTACCCCAAGGAAGATTCAAGCCAAGGGTTCTCCTTTTTGGCAAAGTACGCCTGGGTGAAAGTCTACCTGTGGGTGTCGTGTCTGTTTTTTTGGGGACCCGCAAATCGGTGTTTTTGCTTTTAGTTTCCCTTTTAAGAAAGCACCAAGACAGACCCACCTTGGGGTAGTTTTGAGAAAACTGCATTTTGTGTGTAAGAAATGGTCGCCCAGGGTCGCTGGGGGTGCTTGCAGGGCTTTCCTTCATTTCCCTTTTCAGCCAGCAATTCGAGTGTCTTGTTTTGAGGGTTCCCTTTTTCGGATGGGTTCAAAAGGAAACCAATGGAAAAGCCCACTCATTTTGGGGTTCCCCCGGTTTAAAGACGCGTCAGAAGGTCCAAGTCCGGCCCAGGTCTTTGCGAGTTTTCGGGGTCTCGGAACGCCCAAAAAGCTCTCGGCACCAAGCATGACGCAGCTCGATACTTCTGGAAGTTTGGGTCTTGATTTGAATTTAAGAGGGGTGCGCTGGGGGCCCTAGTGTTTTCCAGATGGCGGTGGGTCAAAACCAATAGTACCATTTTGGGGTAGGTGCACCACCCATTTTAGAACCTATTTGAGTGGCGATCGGGATGTTCACTGGGGGTACAATTTCGGCCGGCCTGGGAGCTTCTGAAGTCCATGGCTTGAGATGTTTGTGATGTGGGACTTGGTTGTGACTCGGGCGTGGAGGTTTTTTCTCCGCTGTCTCTGATGGCCAGGAGTACCGGAAGGCACGGGTCACGGACGGGATCACGGATCGCAAAGCGCGCTTCGCCCTATGGAGGTGTTTCGTGCAAGAGGCACCCTCATATGATGGGTTCATCTTCAACCGTGTTTCCCTTTAAAGCCCAGGCTTACCGTTTAAGTGTTTGCCGGAACCCGAATATCATCACTTTGCAGGTTCCATATGAATTTTGCAGGGGAGTGAGGGCCACAAAAGAGAAGCTCACGAGTTTTGCACTTTACTTTGCCAATTCACCCCAGGAAGTGAGTTACCTTTCGGGCGTTTGGAATCTTTGGGGAACTCTCTAACAAATATTGGGGCCGCTCCAAGAAACGAGTTGCCTGCCAAAGCACGATGCTAGCTTCCCCAGTAGTGCCCTTTTACCAACTTTTTTGGTTGGGAGGGTTCCCCTACTCAAATAGACTACCGAAACAAGTTGCTACCCTTCTTCTGTCCTCTCTACTGGAGGACCAAGGCAAGATGCTAATGATTTTGTTTAGGGTTTAGGCTTGGGACCATTCACCCAACAAAAGAGGGCAACGACACCCGCCAGGTGGCTGCGATCTTTAAGGCGGAGCCACCTGAGCCTCCGGCCTACATGCTGCTCGCACGAGAGCTGAGAGTCGGGTTGAAATTGAAAGCGCCAGACCTTTTTTTGCAGGACTCTAGGTATTTGTGTGTTTGTTCGATTGATTGATTGGTTGTTTGTTTGTTTGTTTGTTTGGTTGTTTGTTTTATTGATTGGTTGGTTGTTTGTTTGATTGATTGATTGGTTGGTTGGTTGTTTGTTTGTTTGTTTGTTTTATTGACTGGTTGGTTGGTTGGTTGATTGTTTGATTGATTGGTTGGTTGTTTGATTGTTTGTTTTATTGGTTGGTTGGTTGGTTGGTTGGTTGGTTGATTGATTGCTTGATTGATTTGATTGATGGATTTGATGGATTGATTGATTGATTGATTGTTTGATTGGATGGATGGATGGATGGATGGATGGATGGATGGATTTTTGTTGAAGAGGTTGGCTTGCTGGAGGTTAGCTTGTCAAGGGGCCTGTTTTTGTTTGAGGAGGTTGTGTTTTTAGTGGCTTTTGTAGTTGGAAGTTGTTCTTATAGGTGTTGTTTAGGCACGGTTTTGTTGGGGGGGTGGTCTTTTGACTATGCATATTGCAGGCAACCTCCTTAAAAGTGATAGGTGGACACGCATGCCCATATTCAACATGATGTCCGCTAACAAAACTCAATGACAGTCATACATATTTGTTTGTCCTCTAAAAGGCTTCTAAACATGTGTTCCTTTCGCCTTGGGTAGTTCCCAAGAAATCTTCAGTCGCCATGGCCCTTAAAGGCACCAATGCTCAACATCATACACCCCTCCGTTTTTTTGTTTTTTTAATCGGGAAACCAAAAGAACCAACATGTAATTCTTGGGATCCCGAAGCCCCTGTTTTGGGGCTGGCCAACCGTTTTTCCCCAATTGGGGTAGCCACACCAGAGGTCTGAGGTTCGAAATCTAAGCCGCGCTTGATGATCATTTTCCTTGATTCCCTTAGGGCCAGCGGATTTGAAACACCAAATGGGTCTGCCTCATGCCGGAAACAAAAACACAGAGGCCAAGCAGGAAATCAACCAGCTTAAGGGTTCCTCTTGTTGAATACCCCCGAAAACATCTGGAATTTTACAATTTAAATACGGAGTAGACTAAATTTGGTTTCATTTCCATGACGGTTCCCCGAATTGAATACACCCCACAACAGCTTGAATATTAAAATTCAACTACGCATTGGACTAAATTTGGTTTTCCATGACGGTTCCTCTATTTGAATAAACCCCAAACAGCTTGAATGTAGACTAAATTTGGTTTCATTTGCTTAGCGGTTCCTCTATTGGAATACACCCCAAAACATCTTGAATTTCAAAATTCAAATACAGAGTAGACTAAATTTGGTTTCATTTCCATGACGGGTCCTCTATTTGAATACACCCCAAAACATCTTGAATTTTAAACATATATTACGGAGTAGACTAAATTTGGTTTCATTTCCGTGAGGGTTCCTCTATTAGAACACACCCCCAAACATCTTAAATCAGACTGAAATTGGTACCTTCTCTCCCACTAACATGGCATCTGACATGGGGTCCCTAAAGGAAATTAATCTTTCAGGTCCCATTTTTCCCAGAGGTGCCATGGCAACGGAGCAAGGGTATCATTTGGGTTGATCAATATTCCCAGCAGTGACTTCAGGGCCAGGGTGGGCCAAGTGACGTCTGTATCGCAGTTTGCAGTTTGACTTGAGCCGCGCGCCGTACTGTCCTTCTCCACGCAAAAAGGCAGAAATCAGGCGCACTGGCGTCGGGCGCAAGCCCCTCCGTCCCCCAAATGACCAAGTCTAACTTGCCAATTGAACTGGTTGAACTATCTTCATCTTCTTTGGTGGTGTTCCAAGCAATGGTCATCCCACGAATCACGGACCTTTTGATCAACCCCCATTTCTGGCGCTCAGCTTTGTTGTCACTCTGAGGCTTTCCTCGCAGGCGAGCTGGGAGCAGTTGCCCATTATCAAGATCGAGCGAATCGAGCACGGGTGCCAGCTGGCGTCTTGGTCTGATTTGGCCATTTGGCTCTCTTTTTTTTCGTTGCGTGAGACAGAGAAAAGGGCCCTTACTGAAGTCCTTTGCCTTTTGGGTCTCCTTCATGCACCTTTTTTGCGCTACTAGGTCCCCCAGTAGTGCCATTTACCCTTTTTTGGAGGAGGGTTCCGCTACTAAAATAGGCTACAGAAAAAAAGGTACCCTTATTCTAACCTCTCTACTGGAGGACCTAGACTAGGCGTTTTCTTTTCGGAGATGGAGTTCTTTCCAAGGAGTGCTCGGCCATGCCCTACCGGGACGGCCTGACGCTTGGCGCCGGGAAGTTTTTCTGATCACGTTTCGTGCGCCTCAAAGATGGGTGGACATGAATCCCCAGCAGGTCTTTTTGTCTTTGCGGCTTGCCAAGTGCACTGAGGGCGCGGCGCTTTGAGGGGGGGACCCCACCAGGTCAAACAAAGGGGTCATGAAAGTCCACACCCAAATGTGGCACGTCCGGAACTACACGTTTAATGTTTCTTCGGGCAGGGCTGCATGGGCCCGAAATCGTGGAAGGCCGCGTTTTGGAGGTGAGGGGCGTGCTGTAAACTATGTCTCTGCCTATAGGTTTCGAACAGTTCCAGTGATGGGGTTCGAGCGAAACCTCAGGTCCATCCCAGGAAGTTGCAGCCCTCAGGTTTTGTTGCCCCTCAATGATCGAAATGCCAGGTTTCCGTTGGAGTCCCTCGTTGACAAACCCTGGAATGTGTTGGCGATTTGCTTCCTTTTGTACTGTTTTGCTGCCTCTTGTACTGTTTACGTAAGCCAGTGGTTTCCAATTTCTCGACCTGCCCAAGTTTGGATTTTCCCATTTCGAGCCTGTATGTTACGTGAACCATGGCTGTTTTCCCGCGTTTCCCCCCCGTTTCTAGAGACATCTAGCCTCCCCCCCTCTCCTTTGCCGTGTTTCTCCCCATTTCCTCGCCAGCCGCTGGCGCGCCACCCAACGCGCGCTGGGCGTTGGGCGCGGGTGGAGCGCGCGCGAAAGCGTCAGGAGGAAGTCGCTGAAGGAGCAGGGCCTGGACTTCGAGGCCTCGGTCCACGGCTGCTGGGCCTTCCACGGAGCAGACTCCGAGGCCCTGGGCTCCGTGATCCGCGACGTCTCGGGCTTCCAGCGCCTCGGCATGCGGCCGTCCCGGAGGGAAAGCGGCGGAGACGGGAGCCGCGTGCTCGGAGGGCGGGGAAGTAACTGGAGTTTTTGTTTTTTGGTGGAAGCCACGGTATGGTGTACAATTATGCAGGTCCTATATGATGAATGGCGTGGACCTTTTGGTATTTGACTCTCTCCCTGAGTGTTGTTTCGGACTTGAGGCATTTTTGGGGGTTGGAACATTTCAGTGAGTTGTGTTTTTGCCAAGCCACTCAGGAAGTGTGAGTAAAGGAAGCCAGCGGATGTTTGGTATCTGAATCCATGGGCCACCCCCTCGGTTTGGTTTGGTGGTTTGGACACTCGAGGGATGTTTGGTAGCGGGAACCTTGGATTTTGTTGATCCGGGGTTCTCATTACCGCGAAGCAACCAGAGTTTTGGTATCTGAAAACAAGTTTGATGAATGTTCATAGGTCCCGGCCCGTTTGGTTGGCATCATTTACCTGGGGGTTATTTCCACCAACCACTTTTCAAGTGGTTCCCTATTTGTTTGGAGCAAAGAGTAAGACGATGCCGAATGCAAACCAGTAAAGATAAGGGGACCGATTCCTCCAGGCGGTCGGTTTCCTTGGCTTCTTTTTCAAACCCGAGAATGGAGACGCCTTTTCTGAGGAACTCCCACTTGGAATTGTTTGGCGTGGTGTCTAAGGGAAACAGAAGGGACCACGACCACGACATTTTTAGGGCCGCCCTATTTTGACACCGGCCCATCTGGAGCCCGCTTTGGTTGGCTTCAGGGAAGCAAATGGGCTGACAAAAAACAACCCCACGCCTTTTCGTTATGTAAGGGGCCGTCCCGTAACTTGTTTTGCAGGCCAAAACCATCGCTTTTAGAGTTAGATGCATGTTGGCGATGGAAATTCAGATTCACCAGCTGTGGCTCCAAATCATAGGCGCTCGGCACTCGCCGCAACGCCATCTTGGCAATTTGTCCACTTTGCCGCAAGTGCAATTGTGGGTGACACGGCATGACTGGTCGTTGGCGTGACCAATTCGCTTCGGCTTATTTTGAAAGGAAACAAAGTTGGGTTTTCCATAATGTGGGGGGTGATTGGTAAAGGCCCCCCCATGCAAAATGAGGAGGGTCAACGGAGAAAGACCTAAAAAAACCTGAAGGTCAGACTGTGGCCTGCCTAAGTAGACTCCCAGCAAGTACTGTTTACTATTGACTTAGAATTGGCCCAATATTGGTTTAGTATTCTTGTGTCCTGACCCAGTACTGTTTAGACTTGGTTTAGTATCGGTGTTGTAAAGTTCCCTTCCCTTAAGCACGCCATATTGTTACTTTCCCGGATGTTCCCTGTACCTCCCCTTGTAAATTTGACTGGGTGGCAGTTTTAGTAAAGAGTGTCCTAAAGAAGTTTTGCTTTTACGGACCGCAGCCAGGTTCGTGGTAGATGGTGAGAATGGTGGTGGGTGGGGTCCGGGTCTGCTGGAACTGCCAGAGGAGTTGCTGGGACTGGGGTATGGAGCAGGTTGGACGCAGCAAGCTCAGACATGGCCAGCCCCAAGAACTGTTCCTTGTCCAGCTGTGTGTATCTTCTTCCCTGGTTTTTCGGTGTTGCGGCGTAGGCACCCTTCCGTGGTTTTACACACCCACAGAGGCTCCCAATAAGCATGGCTGCCAGTGTATAGGGCCGATACACTCAATCAAATCTGGGACCCAGGGTCAGACGTCAGACTCGCCCTTCTGCTGGTTTCGGGCGTTGCGGGCGAAGCGAGAGGCCCTTGATCTCTGGCAGCCGCAACAGCCCGGTGTGGGGCTCAGGCCGGGACACGGTGCCCCTTTTGCGAGTTTTCTGGGAAAATGGGCGGCTCGTCTTTTAAGGGGAACCCCCCGAACATGGGATTTCGGTGTTCCTTTTGGTTTCCCTGTAAAACCAGGAAAAAGAGGTACCCTCAAAAGAGATGACCCAAGGACAAGACTTTGCGCCAAAAATCCTGGAAGCAAGATACGAGGTTTGGGGTTAGCTTAGTGTATAGTTTCCTGCAGATTTCTGAGGCTTTTGGCGCATTGAAGGAAGCCAAAAAGGGAACTAGCCATTTCAAGGCATAAAGCAAAACCCAAGGGAGACCCAGCCCCATTTTTTACAAGCCATGCAACGGGAGGGTAACACATCCGAGGTTTCGCTGACCATCGAAGGAAGCAAGAGACAAGGATTGTTGATGGGTGCATCCCGGAAAATAATATAGATGTCCCGTACCTTACGTCATGCGTAGCCTGGCTGGTTGCATGGGTGTTCAGGAAGTTGCTTTGGTTGCCGTGCCATCCATGGTACGGCACACGCCTTTCCCTGGATCGGTATCCGGTATCCGGTATCCCCATGTGGGAAACCCAAGCCGGTGGCCGTCCATTGATCCATCAATTTGAATCCCATGAAGCAATTGGCACCTAGTGAGTTGGGCATTCGAGCAGTGATTTGGCTTGCATTTCCCTGGGGCACTTTACTCCATGGGAAATGCACATCAACCTGAGCGGGCTTCCGCCCCTCAATGTTGCGAGTGAAGCACTTCCAAGTGAAATGCCTTGTTGCCTTGCTCCCTCCAATATTCAGGCAGGCCGGACAAGTGCGCGTTGCCTTCCTTTGGAACAGTCAGTCTTCGCCCCAACTATGGATGAGGTGGGGAGCGGCAAGGCAATTTTTGAAAAGACGAGAGCCCCCAGTCTTAGGTGCATCACATCGGCCTAATTTGTGGGACAGCGAGCGAACGCCATCATGTAGGTAGGTTCTTTACTTGGGGGTTAGTTTCCAGCTGTGCTTTTCTACCAAAAAGGGCTTTGTAGCCCAACAGCGTGTTGTGTTTTTTTGCTACGTGTGCTGTTTTCTTTGCGCTGGAAAGCAGCCTCAAAAGGCAAAACATACACGGCGATGAATTTTCATAGGGAACCCTACCAAAGAGTTTGTGGACATACATCCCCATGTAAAACAAGGGCCCCAGTCAGCATGAACACACCAACATCCTTCTAGGAGACACTTCCCCATTCTTTGCAGGGATCCTTCTTTTAAGAAAACCATCAGAACCCCAGGGAAAACAGCTGGTTTTTGAGAAGAATGATGGTGGAAAAGAATGGACAAGGAATCAACCCCTAGAATCCCACAACCTTCATCCTACAACTAGGTCCCCCAGTAGTGCCCTTTTACCAACTTTTTGGTTGGGAGGGGTCCCCTACTAAAATAGACTACCGGAGAAAAAAATCCAGGTACACTTATTCTAACCTCTTTTCTGGAGGACCTAGACAACCTTCCTTCCAGGGGACGCTTCCCCATTCTTTCCAGGGATCCTTCCTTTCAAAAAACCATCAGAACCGCAGGGTAAACAGCTGGTTTTTGAGAAGAATGATGGTTGAAAAAGAACGGACAATTCAACCCATAGAATCCCACCACCTTCCAAGGGTCCCCCATGTGTCCCGTTGCTAAGCAGGCACCTACTTCGCGCGGGACGCCAAGTACGTGGCGGACGGCCAGTTCTGCCCCCGGCGGCCGGACGGGCTGCGGTGCATGCTCCTGTGCCTCGTGACGCTGGGCATGCCCTGCCTGGGGGATCCCCAACAAAAGGCGAGATCCCTTTTGATTCGATCGATCCGTGGGTTCAGTTGCAAAAAGGGTCTGCGATGTTTTCCATTTTTGTCCAAAGAAAGTTATTGATTACATTTTATTAGGAATTTCCCCCTGACGTGGGTCTATGCAGGGTGATGATCATGCTACATGTTTGCAAGCGGCGGGCCAGTGGTCCAGGTCTATTTGGATTTATTGGGGGATCCAAAAACACCACGGTTTTGGCCCAAGGTGACTTCCCTAGGAGTGATGTTTGAAGGGGAAATGTACAGAGCTTTGTGGGCGGAGTTGGGTTCGTGTTCTTTTGAAACTCGGTATCCTTTTCCAGGGGGAAACGGGGAATCCAAACAAAAACACAAAGTTCCATTTTGGGGGGTCTCCCTATCTGAGACATATCCAGCTTTGAGGGCAGGTTGATTCAACCTCTTGTTCTAACCACGTTTCATGTCTTGCTCCGCGAGTTCCTGGACTCATATTTTGTGAGACCATTTGAGTGGCAAACTACAAGTTCGGGCTTTTTGGCCAATCCACTCATGACTCATGGTCCAAAAGGCTACCCCTACATGTCCGCTCCCTGGTGCCAAACTTTGTGCCAAGGAATAGACGGGTATGGGTCAAAATTGAACCACCCAGGAATCGGACCGCAGGTTTTAGTCCTCGGGCTCCATTTACCAGGGTTCCATTTTGGGCACAGCCAGATTTGCCATGCGAGACTAAAGCTGAAGGCTTCCGTGACCCGTTTTTTCTCTTTCCGATCGACCGCCCATCGACCGCCCAGCCCGATCGAGCCGGATCGCTGCGACAGGGGGTCCTGCCATTCCGCCAGAAGCCGCATCGCTACAACTCCACAGTGGACTCCTTGTCCAGCCCCGAGGTCTACGTCGTCCAGCACGCAGGACCGGTCTGGAAACCCTGCGTCTGGAAACCGGGGTTTGTTCCACTGTTTTCCTTGAAAACCACTCGAGTGCTTCTCTTTTTTGAAGGTGGGTTCAACCCTGTGATGAACGTCGATGTCTGGAGAAGAAGAGTTAAATTAACCCATTCCCAGTGGATCCATTTGCCTGCTTTAACAACCAAATGGAAGATAGCTGATTACCTATGACAAGGGCTGGGATCCCTGGGATATGTTCAGTCGTTGCGTTCCATGTAAAGTTGCCGGTGAGTAGCTGTTTGAGCTATCAGGCTGCCCTACTTGTAGGTTTCGGGAAGAGGCAACATCGACAGAAGGGTTCCAGGACTCGGGCTGCCTACCCCTTGTCAGATTCGCCTTTGGGAAAGTGGGAAAAAGTGGAGATGTGATATGTCGCGACGATTCGTACTGTTGAGTATACGCAAAGGATGGCACAGCGGCATTTCAGTGCGCACGTGTCGAGCAGTTCATCCTATTTGAGGGTCCTGCCTAAGCGTTCGTTGGGTGCATCACTGAAGCGCCACGAATGGGAGGGGAGTGGCTGGAATTTCCCCTGGGAGGGTGGCCGAACTGAACCGTTGAGTTGGCACAACGCTTCACTGGTTTCGGATGATGTGAGGGTACACGGGCTTCCCTAGCCCCCGAAGCTAATGCTAGTTGGTTGGGATTGGTCACGGGGGTTTGAAGCCCTTCTGGTAGATGCAGGGGTTTCCCAGCCCCCAAATGGAAGCTTTCATAGGTGACACGTTGGCAACCCGAGTTGAGACCCCCCCCCAAACCCATGTGTATGGGGCTGGTGTTCTTCACGCCTATGCTCAATTACATGGGTTGCCCGAAAAGGAGACTGATCTAAGTGGATCTAAAGTTGATCTGCAGGGGTTCCCACAGGAAAATATCCTAGCGTTTTCAGATGCATGTAAGTTTCGACTGGCCAAGTCACGAAAGAGGAATCCGGGTATGTGTCAAGCACCCCAAAATAGTTTCCCTTGAAACCACCCACAAGAGGGCACACTCAAACACAAACGCATTTGAAGTGGATGGGTTCATACCTTCAGCTTGCGAGGAGCGGCCCACCCCGCGTACCTCATCACCTTCGCATAGTGACCGGCTTTTCAGCGGTGCTTTCAGTTTGGGCGCGTTTCTGGCATGCGCCGTATACAGGAGAAGAGCCAGCAACGTGGGCACAGGCGCGTGGCGCCTTTCCAGCTTCCTAAGATGTGTGCCAAAATAATAGACTCGAGCCAATTGGCGGGATGTCTAGCACGTTGTCGTCTTCCTTGTTTGCCACTCCTTTGAGTTTCTCCAGGAAGGCGAAGGGCCAGGCGGCATTCGACAGGCCGGGATAGCCATTTCTCGTAACATGTGTCGCAGCTTGAAGGCTTTTGTAGATAGCGGGTTTGCCCATCCGCAAGGCGGACGCGGCAGTGAGCTGTTAGCTCTGTCCGGTGGTTCGAAGGGTTGCTTCGGAAGCTATCGATGCATTGCAAATCAAGCTGGGCAAAGTTCAAAGAAAAGCCAGTTACCTCACCAAGGGGTTGGTTTAAGACCAAAACTGCTGAAGAAACTTCCTTGCTGAATCTTGCAAATGCCATTAATCTCAGGTGTATGAATTCTGTTTTGCCCAGAATGCTCATCGCTTCGCAACTGCAACCTCGGCCGATCTGTTCTTTTTTTTTCTCCTTTCCCCGCAACATCCGCTCGAGGCGGATGCAGAAGTCGCCTCCACCCGTGGGGCAGGGGGACATGCCAAGGCCTTGATTGTGCCGTCCTTCGCCGCTTCGCGGTGACTGGTGCCGCTTCTCCAAAGATCCATCATCTCGGCACGGTTCCTTTTGGAACCTTTCACAAGTTCTGTTTAGAACGTGCTGAACCGTCAACACTGTTTTTCAACGCGGCATACGGCTTGCAGCAAGGCTGTGTTTGGGAGTGAGCGCTTCATTCCTACCACACCTGGGTCTTCCAAAACTGCAGTCAAGGTTTGCTGTTCCGACCAAGGATTTCCATTTCACGTGCTTATGCTGGATGGGTATATAAGCAACCAGGCTCCCAGAGTCATAGAATAGAAAATGGTGAATAGATTGCTCATTGCTGATGCTTGGCAAGGAGACAATGGGAACCCTATTAGCTGTTTGAGCTGATGGGCCAGAAAACAATTTTCAGTGGGGAAGACTGGGCTAAAGGCGAGTCAGATTGAGCTTCTATTTTGAGGGGGTTTGGGTCAGTCAAGATATTGGGTGCCTTTTTTAAGGGTACCCCCTTGGTTGCTGGTTTCCGGTTGTTTTGCCGCTGCTTCTAACATGTACTGAGTTTGTGGCTGTGAAATTGAGACATGTATTCAATCCTTGGCATGCAAGCACTCATGCAAGCATGTGCCCAACTATTGCCGTGCTGCGCAACTTTGGCTTGTCGGAATGCAAAATAAAGGAGAGGTGAAGTGGGCATGCTTAGGTGTCTATTGTTGGTCGGGCAGTGGTTGTTTTTCCACGACACCGCCCTACAACACGTTGGCCACGTTGGTAGAGGCGCAGTTTTTACCACCGTTTCGGAAGTGCTGTCATTGTTTGGCTTGATGTTTGCTAAGCCATCGAAAGAAACCATTTGGACACTCTTAAACTGTAAGCTGCATTTACATGAGCAACTTTGAAGAGCCCTTCATCCAGCGAACTGTCGATTGGAAGACCAGGCCGTTGCGCCTCTGGAAGAAACCGTCGCTACCTGCATTGGCCCAAAGGTCACATGTGACACATCAGGTTGATGTAGCAAAAAGCAAAATCTGGGACAGCAGCCGCTTCCAGGGTCCAATTGTTTATTTTCAAAGCCCAGGGTTGGGCGTCTGAGGGGCTTTCTCGCGGGTCCAAGACCCGCAGGGCCGTCCTTCGCGCTGCGACCCGATCCCCGTGACGGCTGGGCCTGTCTGAGGAAAAAAAAGCCCCGCACTGCGCACGTGCACGCGAATCGCAAGATCGTAAGTGCCAGAGCACCGATGCAGGGGCGTTGAGCACTAGGAGTCCTAGCGCAAATCGGCGTCAATGACGTTTTGGTTCCCGCAAACTTCACTTTTATGTTACGACCTTTTTCTTTCCCAGGTCCTTTGGGCCACTTTTTTGTATAGTGACTGGAAGCTTGACTTTGGGAAGCCCTGGCCGCTTCCGGGGCTTCGCGACCTTCAGTAGGGTGCCTAGGTTCCCTGCGATTTTTTAGGGGTTATCGCTGATTCAGACCCCAAGGGAGCCGCAGAGAAACGAGTGACGCTTGAAAGGGGCCGACGGAAGATCCATTTGCTCGTATTGAGGCTGCCTTGTTGGGGTTGGCTTAAAGGGAAGCCAACAGGACAACCGCCGTTTTTTACGGTTGCCATGTATGGGCCCACCCAACTAGGAACATTGGCCCCCTATGATGGGTTTTCTCTTGGTTTCACGTTGGAAAAACGAGCTTGTTTCGGCGGTTTTCCCTTGACACAGACCCAAGGGAAGTTTTTTTTGTTGTTCCGGAATCAAGGTTGTATTCAAAAGGGATTGCATCAGGGTCTCGTAGTCAATTTCCGTTGAGGGCGTAGGCGCGCGCAGGCATTTCGCGTACATCATGATTTTTCCTTGCGTAGGCGCCCATGTAGGCAAACCTGCTCACATCAGAGAGCTGTGCTGGTTTGGAAGCTTGCATGGTTCGCAGTGGTTGCGGCAACACGAGGGGGAGCAGCTAGACGGTAGCTATGATATGTGCATCGCTGCGTGCTGGCCTGCTCCTATCGCTCAGAAAGTCATGCGCGTGAGCTCTGCATAGGCTCGGCCCATTTCGTGAATTTGTCCCTTTTCGGATGGGCTACTGCTGCTGCTGGTGTTAAGCTTCCCGTTTTAGTCTGTGACCTGACAAGTCTCGATTTTGGGATATTTTTGGGGCTTGAGCTGCCAAAGTGCATGTCGGGTATCACAGGCAACCTCACAAGCCGCAAGCGGGCAACGAACGGCTCGTCAAAGCTACGCAGCTCGAGCAGCGAAGCCGCGGGCAAGCGGCTTGCACATGCATCCGCGCCGGGAAGATCCCCCATACGCGCGCTGGCGCGCGCTTTTCCGGAACCCCCAGTTGCGAAAAACCGCGCACGCAGCCGCGAAGGCGAGTGCCCACTTGACGCTTGCCGCAGCCTTTGGTCCTCGAGGAATCTGAGTGGCCCAAGGCCCAAAGCGCCGAAGCTCGGCGCCAGCTCGAGGAAACCGACAGGCGCGGAAACCGCGAGACGCGTTTCGTTGTGCGGAGGGCGGTTCATGGTGAGCCACTTGCTCAAAACCGATTCGGGTAGATGAAGGTTAAGGGACAATCCCAACCATAGCTGCGGATATCCGGCTTAGTTCTTTACATAGTTCCGGGTAGACCATTTTAATACCGGGTTTTGAGTATGACTCTCGTCGGTATCTTGGCCTTCAGATCTAAATGGTCTCTGCAATTGCGTATCTAGTGGACAGCAAGGGCTTAAATCCTTGCAGCGCTGCTTGATTGGAGCTTTGCATCTTTGCCTTTTAGTATAAATTGTCATAGAAAAAGTCGAAGTTCTTGGGTGGGCCGACATTTGGTTGGAGCTTTGCATCTTTGCCTTTTAATATGAACTATCAGAGAGTTGTTGGCTGGGCCGACATTTGATTGGAGCTTTGCATCTTTGCCTTTATTGACATGTTGATAGAAGAGGCTACTATTGTTTGGTTTTGTGGGAGCTTTGCATCTTTTCCTTTTACTAATATGGTAGAACACTTCAAAATCTTTGGGCGGGCCGACGTTTGGTTGCATTGTTGCATCTTTGTCTTCATTGAACAGATGGAGAACAGGTTAAGATGCTTTGGTGTTTGGTAGGAGCTTTGCATCTTTGCTTTTTGGTAATAAATACAGCAGAAAAGGTCAACATCCGTGGGCGGTTCGACGTTTGGCTGGAGCTTTGCATCGTTGTCGGTTTCCTTGGTGCGAGGGCTAGAAGCCAATGTGCCCTCTCTTGCGACCGATGTTAGAGACCCACCCTAGCAGCGGTCTGGAAATGTTATCGAGCTCGCCTGGGGTGAAACGAGCTAACCCATGATGAGAGTCCCTCAACCTTTAGCTGAGGGAATTCAAATTACGGCGGGATTTGAGCGCAGACCCGGCTTTTCTTGACATTTATTGCTATTTTGCATTGTTTTGGATTCGAGTCCCTCGATCCAAGTCATCCCAGCGTCCCTTCCCTGATTCACTGACGGTCGACCCTGTCAGGTGAGGAGTCAACAACATGGGTGTTTCTCAAAATTGTCGACCCCTTTGGGTTTCCTCTTGGTTTCCTTTCTGCGACCATCTGAAAGAGGGGGAGGCATTTCCTATTTTGAGGCACACCCATTGTGATGTCTTTTGGAGGGTACGCTTGGGCTAAAGCAAAGCCACGCCGGCGGGGGGGGGGGGGGGGCAAAGTGTCCAACACCCAACGAAGCTTCTTTTGTCAAACTCTTGGGACATTGCCAGTTTCATCCTGAGGGTCAGGCGGTCGCTCAGTGCGGTCCAAATCCTGTCGCTTAGTGCGGCGCAAATCCTGTCGCTTAGTGCGGCGGTCACTTTCACCTTCACGGGACCGTTGAGCCCGTGTGGCCCGTTGAGCCCGTCGGGCCTGTTGGGCTGTTGGGACCGCTGGGCCCGTTGGGACCGTTGAGCCCGCTGTGCCCGTTGGGCCCGTGGGGCCTGCCCGTTCGGACCGCTGAGCCCCCTGCTCTGGCTCGTCTTGGCTCGCTTTACTTTTCTTTACAAGAACTTACATGTGTTTAGACACGTGCCAAAAGTGTGGTTTTACCTGCATCTCGGAAGGTTCGCGGAAGGCTCGCGGAAGGTTCGCGGAAGAGCGAGGCGGAAAACTGTTTTTGGAACAAGGCTCACGAATATATGTATGTTGTGTTATGTATGTTTTGTAATGTAATGTGATGTATGCGTGCATGTATGTTGTGTATGTTATGTATGCAATGTACGTAAGTATGTGTGTTGTATGTATGTATGTATGTATGTATGTATGTATGTATGTATGTACGTACGTATGTATGTATGTTGTGTTGCGTTGTGTTGTGTTGCGTTGTGTTGCGTTGCGTTGCGTTGTGTTGTGTTGT